CCTTAGAGCTAGTGGAGCTCGTCCTCTACCAGTCCCCCTGCTCTCAGCCCCCAGCCCAGCTCCCCTCCCAGATGACCCAGGCATCCAGGTTCCCAACCCCTTGCTCTCACCCCCAGGCCCCACTCCCCTCCCAGAGAACCCAGGCATCTGGGGTCCCAGGCTCCCCTGCTCTCCCCCACCAGCCCACCCCCTCCCAGAGAGCCCTTAGAGCTAGTGGAGCTCATCCTCTACCAGTACCCCTGCTTTCAGTCCCCAGCCCAACTCCACTCCCAGAGGACCCAGGCATTGGTCCCACCTGCACCCAGGTAGAGAAGCAGAGCCAGTGGGTCCATGACTGAGGTTGCGGGTGCTTGGCACTTGGATGTGCCCAAATCGCTGTCTGCAGAAGGGGAAGTGAGAGCGGCTGGGAGGGGCCGAAGTGGGTGTGGAGGGTGTGAGGAGAAGAGAAGGGCTGGGTGGGAGAGAGACAGGAACCTCGCAGGGAACTGCACAAGGAACAAGGGACCCGAGTGTCCAGGAGTGCACACGCACCCACACATACACATGCACACATGTATACATTCACACACACACACACACAGAACCCAAGTGTCTGGGCTATGCGCGCGCACACACACACACACACACACACACAAAATCCTGGTGTCCAGGACACACGCATACACACAAGGAGCCCAGGCATCCAGGGTATACACACATACACAGAGACACACACAAAATCCTGGTGTCCACAATGCACACACAGACCCCAGGTGTCTGGGACACACACACACATGTGCGTGCTGGGCACACACCCAGCCTGGGCACCAGGGCAAGGGAAGGACAAGCGGCTGCTTCCCCTGCCAGCTTCCCCTCCGGCCTGGGGCTTCCTCTTTCCTAAGTTCTGGGTTGGGGGAGGATGTGTGTGTGTGTTTGGACAGACACACAGAGACAGATCCCATGTGCCCGGGGCCTACACACACACACACACACACACATAGACACCCCCCCACCTCCATCACTGCCACGAGGACTCCTTATCTGTGACTCAGCTACTTCCCTAATTCCCCGCCCTGCCCACAGCCCTGGGGGTGGGGGACATAGTGGGGCCTGTTCTATCCACCCACCCCAGACTCAGCTGCATCATAACATCCAGCCCCCAATGCCCACCCCTAAGCTGGCCACAGCTCTGTGACACCTGACCCCCAGCACTGAGATGCAGCTGGCTCTGGGGTGGGGCTGTGGCAGCTGGGGATAGCAATGCTCTGTTTGGCCCCAGGCCAACTACCTTTCCCAGCCCAGGCCTTTGGCAGCAGGTGGGGCTGGGCTCCTCCTGAAGATGGATGCTGCAGCCTTGGGGCTTCCCGGGGGTCAGGGATAGGTCAGAGCCCTTGCCATGGTTGTGGCCTTCCCCAGCCAGTAGGAAAGCCACCTTGGTGGTCACAGGATTTCCACTGCCACAAGACGTATCTGGGAAAACACACCAGCGGTGGAAACCGAGCAAGTGGCACTGTTCCAAGGAAGCTCCAGGGGTGGCAACTTGCCCAGCAAGCGGCCAGACAGACCACGTGGCTGGGGAAACATTGGGGGTGGGAGACTCATTCCTAAGTAGGCACCTTAAATTGCTCCAGGGAAGGGAGCACATGCTCCCAGGGCCTTAAGGATTGGCCCAGGGGAGCCTGAGAAACTTAATGGGAGAACGGGATGTGGTGTGGAGGAAACAAAGAGCTGCTGGAGCAGGATGAGGGCTCTGCTGCAACCGAGACCCACCTGGCAGCACCTTACCTAGACTGCCCCGGGCAAAGGAGGGGCCTGGACTACCCTGGCCAAAGGAGGGGCCTAGATGATCCCAGGGTAAAGAACGGCCTGAATGACCCTGGGCAAAGAGGAGGAGGAGGGACCCAGGCCAGAGAGGAACCGAGACCCAGAGACTTGCACTTGGTGCCAGCAGGAAAACAGGACTCTTTACTGGGGTGGGAAGGGGTGGGGAGTAGGGTAGGTGGAGCCCTGTGGAGGACCGACCTCGTCTGCACGGGAGACCATCCAGACTCCGAAAGGACAGCTTGGCACCAAAGACGGGGCAGGAGAGGGGGAGGGAAGACGAGGTAGAGGTCCCAGTGATTCCAATGGGATGAAGAGTAGTGGGTAGGCCTGCCTGCTCACGGACACACACACACACACAGCACAGGGAACTGTACCAGCTGAGAAGCACATATGGACCCACACAGGACACACACACACAGCATGGGGAGTCATATCACCTGACACGGACACACGGACCCATGAGTGACTGGTGCCCCCTGAATGTGGGGGGCACCCGCAGAAGCCACTGATGACGGCAGCCCTGTCAGGGGGGCACCAGCCCTACTGACAGCATCAGTGTCAGCCATCGGGGGAGCACCGGCCCCATCAAGTGGGGCACGTGCACCCCCTGTGCACCCCCTACCATTCGCTTATGCATGGACCCACATCACACACACACACACACACACAGAGCATGGGGGGAGCCATACCACCTGACATGCACACACACACACCCCAACACGCAACACGTGGTTGTGGCGTGCGTTTATTGCGTGTGCATGGACACACTCAAGCCAGGCTGCGCCCAGAGCTGCACCAATAGGATCAGCCCACCAAAGGGGTACGTGTGTCAGGAGTGGAGCCATGTGGCAATGTCATTTCCTGCTCTGTAGCCGGTGTGGCTCCAGTGTGGTGATGTAACTTCCTAGGTGGGACGGGATTATGAGGCCTACAGGAACAAGATGTGCTTTGTGGGGGCGGGGCGGGCAAGTAGTTGGGCGTGGAGGAGACATGTAGAGCAACATGGTGATATCACTTCCTGGTACATGATTGGGCATGGTCTTCAGAGTCCAGCGTGGTGATGTCACTTCCTGCCAAATGGAACCATGGCCACAAGGATGGTTATGATGCCTGCAGCACTCTGGTGACATCACTTCCCGTGGGGGTGGAACCGTGGCCCATGGAAAATCCACACATGAATGTGGCAACATCACTTCCTGCCAGGTGCAGCCGCTGTCCAAGGGGAGATGATTGTAACACCTACATCAGTATGGTGATGTCACTTCCTGTGAGGGAGAGCCGTGGTCCAAGGCGGTTGTGGCAGCACTTCTATCACTTGATCACATCACTTCCCGTGGAGTGGAGCCTCAGCCCACAGAGAACACCTACATCAGTGTGTTGACATCACTTCCTCCAAGTTGGAGTCATGGTCCAACAGGGAACACCTATATTAAATGACATCACTTCCTGCCAGTGAGAAGCCCAGCCCCAGCAGAACTTCTATCTCCATGTGGTGACATCACTTCCTCCATCTGATGACCTCATCGGGCGACATCTTTTCCTGCCACAACCTCACTTCCTGCGATGGGAGATAGGGGCTCCTTCCACCTCCTCACTGGACCATGTCTCCTCCTGCCATGACCTCACTTCCTCCCACAGGATCAGGGATAGGGGTTACTTCCACCAATACAGAGCTGAGTGACATCTCTTCCTCGAACAACCTCACTTCCTCCCACAGGGTTGGGGACAGGGGTTACTTCCGCCAACGTGAAACTGGGCCATACCTCTTCCCCGAACAACCTCACTTCCTCCCACGGAGTCAGGGATAGAGTCCACTTCCACCAACACGGGACTGGGCCATGTTTCTTCATCTAATGACCTCACTTCCTCCCACAGGGTTGAGGATAAAATCTACTGACTGGGCGACATTTCTTCCTTGAACAACGCTTCCTGCACCGGGGGCTGGGCGGGGGGTGGGGGAAATCAGGGCTTTCAGGGCGGGCCAGGTGGAGGCCGAGGGACCTAGGAGGAGGCCTGCCCCTTGGCCACGCAGATCTCCAGGGGCTGGCTGTTCTTGCCCTTGTCGTGCCAGCAGACATCGAAGAAGGGGTAGAGCGGGCCGGGGAAGCGCTCGCGGAAGGCGAAGAGCTGTGCCAGGTTGTCTGGGTCGGTGGCATCGTAGAAGCAGAGGACGCCCTCTTGGAAGCTCAGGTAGATGCCTACACGCCGAGGCCGGGCCTCTGGGTTCAAGGCCCGGGGCTCCTTGTGCTCCACATGGGCCTCGTAGTGCTTCCCCTCGCGGCACCCCAGGAGCCAGAGCCCGTGAGAGGGCAGGGCCTGGAGGCGCCCCTTGCGCCCGGCCTCGGCAGCCATGACGCCCAGCCCCCAGCGGGGCTTGTCCCCCACGGCCACCTCCCAGTAGTGCTCGCCGTCCAGCCAGCTCTGGTGGGTCAGCACGGCGTTGGCCTTGTCGAAGCGTCCGGGGTCGTCCGGGGAGGAGCCTGCCTGCTTCTGGTCCAGGCACTCCACCCGGTGCCCATCTCTGGACACCGCCAGGTGGGGGTGGGCCGTGGCGGGGTCGAAGGTCAGCTCCTCCAAGGCTGGGAGAGAAAGGGGGAGAGGGGAACGGTCAAGACGACCACCTGGGGGGTCACCAGGTCTCTCCCCTCATTGACGCAAGTGGTTGGGGCACCAGACCCGGACGCCTGGGTTTTGTCCCCAAGGGGTTGGGGCACCAGACCCAGACGCCTGGGTTCTGTGCGCAAGGGGTTGGAGCACCAGACCTGCATGCCTGGGTGCTTTGCCTAAGGGGTTGGAGCACTAGACCTGGGTGCCTGGGTTCTTCCTTGACCGCTGGGGGCAGTGTCAGGCCCGGATGCTTGGGCTCTTCCCCCCAGCTTCCTCGGCTGAGGGGCAAGGCTCTGCCGGGCCGGACCACCTGGGTTCCCAGCATCCCTCTGCACCCTCAGTGGCCCCTCACCTGGCATCAGGGCCCGAAACATCTTTCTCCAGACCTGGAATTTGAAGTCGTCGGTGATGATGGGCAGCTGGATGTCCATACGGGCGGCGGGGGGAGCCTCGCTCAGGATCTTCTGCAGCCTGTGGGGCGGGGGCAGTGGGAAGGGTAGGGCCTGGCCCAGCTTAGCCCCCACCCTCCAGGGGGGCAGGGGAGCCCACCTCTGGGCTGCCATGCCCCCTGCCAGCACCCCCAGGCCTGGGCAGGGTCGGGGCACCCAAGGGTGGGGGTGGAGGTCTCACCTGCTGGCCACCAGACAGTATTTCTGGGAGGGAGAGAGAGGAGGGAGACAGGTTAGAGCGTGTCGCACCCAGGGCCCCTTCCCCAGAGCAGCCACACTCTCCACCCACTCGCTCCCTGGGAACAGAAACCAGGTGGCCAGAGTGCAGGGTGCAGCGGAGAAGGGTGGGTGGATGGATGGGTGGGGACAGTAGTTGTAGATAGACAGATTCATTGGATGGATGGATGGATGGATGGATGGATGGATTGATTCACGAGATGGATAGAGTGATAGACGGATAAAGGAGTTGGATGGATGGATGGATGGATGGACGGACGGACCAGGGGCGTCTATGGGGGTCAGTGACTGGAGGGATGGAGGGATGGACGGACAGAGAGAGGGGGCAGGTGACTGGATGGATGGAGAGCGTCTACGTGGAGATGGTGGGATGGCTAGGTAGACAGAGGAGGGTCAGGGGAAGGGTGGCTGGGGCCATGGGGCGGGTAGGGAGGGCGGGCGCTGGCGGCCCCTCACCCGCAGGAACTCGGTCTGGGTCTCGTGGTGCACGTCGCCCAGCACGGCCTCCATCTCGCGCAGCTGGTCCAGGTAGCGGCTCAGGGTGTTGCGCTCGGCCTGCAGGGCCCCG